TATATATTATATATATATATATATATATAATTTTTTTTTTGCGATAATCGAATATCGAAAATAGTAAGTGAGTATGGGTGTGACATTTGCGAATGTTTAATAACTGCAAGCTGATAATAGAAAACGAATAATATCTGAGATAAAGAGTAAAAAAATGTTTTTAATGTTTGTACTCATAAGGATGATATTACTTTCGTACAAACGTCATTACTATGTGACCTAGATTAACAGTTATAAACATTTACAGTCCACATTTTCAAAAGATTAATTACTACATGTTACATAATAAAATTAAAAATTATTCAATTAAACATACTAGTCTAATAAATAACTTTTAATTTTATTTTCATTAAACTATTTGATATCATTTTTTAATAAAAAAATTATTTGATGTATAAATCATCAGAATACAAATATCGTATCAGATTAAAAGTTATATCAATCAAGATTTAAAATTTTTTTTTAGGGATTATTGTTTGCAAATGTATAAAATATTTAGGATTATAATTGATGTTAAAATAATTGATAGTATAATTTGTAAATTAGTATTTAAAAATAAAAACTCAGTAAAATTCGATAAATAGTTTAAGCCAGTACGTGAGGTCACTTTACGTTTCTCTCCATTTTAGTGTAATGAAAAAAAAAAAAAAAAGCCGTTTTTCCTTGAAGAAATATCGTCTTTGGCTTTTATAAAATTGCGACTCAGTCACTTAATGGCAAGAGGTATAAGAAAACGATGATGAGTAAAATACACTAGTGCCTATTCAGAGATTAGTAAAGAAACTACTGTAATATTTTATAAGAACTGATGCCTCGTTGTGTGTTTATTTTGTGATAATTAATATTAATGGTATCGTGTCAGATATTTTAAGTTTATTATTTATTGAAGATAAGTTTTTCGTATAAAGAACAGATGATTGATTCTTGTAAGTAGTTACGGTAGTTTATATATAAGTAAATATTGTAATAAATGCGGAAAAATATATTATTTTTACGACCTCTAGAACAGGTAGAATAGAATTTATTAGTGTAGTATATTCGATTATCTTAGTCAAGCACAATATAACGGCACACCTATATGCCTAAGCATTTTAAATTGCCAGCACCGGTTGTGTAGAGAAAAAAAAATTTATATGTATGTGTGTGTGAGTGCGTATATATTTTGTGGTTGTGATATCATACGAGTGACGTAATCCCATCGTATGGCTGATGATGATGCTTTTATTTAAGAGCCTACACTGCTAAATATCTTTACACATACATTCAATATTCGCTGACATCGCCCTGTTTTGTGCGATAATAATAAATATTATTATCATTATTATACTTACACTTGAGATAATTGAAATAAAAAAATATAAATTGAGCTATTTTTAAGTGTAAGTTTATGAATTATGAATTGTTGTAAGTCATAGACTTGAATATCTTCTTTAATATTTAATCAAGATTAAAAAAAATTCATGATTTGATTATGTAAGAAAATTTACGCTCGTAATTGAGTTGTTAATATTTCTTGGAATTAAATTATTTTTAAATAACATTAAAAGTAGAAGAAAATTTTTAAATAGTTTTTATGGCAAAATAATTAATGAAATTAATTTTTATTTTTCAGGAGGCCCTTTGGAGAAGGGTTAAATAAAAGTGAGCTGTTGGTCCAATTGGCAAAATGACGACCGACATCTCAGTGGTGCGTTCAGGGTGGGACCCAACGCTTCAGCAAGAGATTGTCGACGAGTACGAATACGACGGAGGAAACTCAAGCTCGAGATTATTCGAACGATCACGAATCAAGGCCTTAGCTGGTATGTATTTACATTTATATTTATATCCATATATATCTCTATCTGATTAAATGTATTATTTAATACTACATATATATAATTATAATACATTAGTGTAATGTACAAAGTTTAAGATATACTAATTCTATTTATACACGCACATGTATAAAAAATATTTTGTCGTGTAGGAAATAAGCAAAACCACATCCTTAGATATATTTCTTATCAATAACAAAACCGACTAGTCGAACTAAGCATTTATATCGCAAATCAGTAATGTACTAGACCTGATTGACTTTACACTCATTTATATTATATATTATTTAGACTTTTTCAATCAATATGACCCAAAGATTATCTATAAGTGATTCACTTGAAGATTATTATGATAAAATAGTACTAGATTTACGGGGTAATTCTTGTCTATTTATGTTATAAAAATCAGTGTTGTAAAATTATATTCAAAACTTTTTATTGCTATCGTTAATTTTTTATAGTTATGAAAATTTTTTTATATTATTTTATTCAGTAATATTTTTTTTTTTTTTTTTCGTTTAGGTGAACGTGAGTCAGTGCAAAAGAAAACATTTCAAAAATGGGTGAATTCACATTTAGTACGCTGTTCGAGTCGTATCGGCGATCTCTATGGAGATCTCCGAGACGGAAAAATGTTGATAAAGCTATTAGAAATATTGTCAGGAGAACGATTACCTCGGCCAACAAAAGGTAAAATGCGAATTCATTGTTTGGAAAATGTTGATAAAGCGTTACAATTTTTACGTGAACAACGTGTACATTTGGAAAATATGGGATCACATGATATTGTTGACGGGAATCCACGTCTTACTCTTGGTCTTATATGGACTATTATATTACGATTTCAAATTCAAGATATTACGATTGAAGAAACTGATAATCAAGAAACAAAATCTGCCAAGGATGCGTTATTATTGTGGTGTCAAATGAAAACCGCTGGTTATCACAATGTTAATGTGAGAAATTTCACTACATCTTGGCGAGATGGATTGGCCTTCAATGCTATTATTCATAAACACCGCCCTGATTTAATACACTTTGACAAATTATCAAAATCTAATGCTATCTATAATCTTAACAATGCTTTCAATGTAGCTGAAGATAAATTGGGACTTACAAAACTTCTTGACGCCGAAGATATATTCGTAGACCATCCTGATGAAAAATCAATAATAACTTACGTCGTTACGTATTACCATTACTTCTCTAAAATGAAGCAAGAAACAGTGCACGGTAAAAGAATTGGTAAAGTTGTCGGCATTGCAATGGAGAACGATCGTATGATCAATGAATACGAAGGCATGACAAGTGATCTTTTACGGTGGATTGAAAGTACTATTGAAGCTTTGGGTGATCGTCGTTTTGCCAATTCACTCGTGGGTGTCCAATCTCAACTATCGCAATTTTCAAATTATCGAACCATCGAAAAACCACCAAAATTTGTCGAGAAAGGTAATCTAGAAGTGCTGCTATTTACCCTTCAGTCTAAAATGCGGGCTAACAATCAAAAACCGTACACGCCCAAAGAAGGTAAAATGATTTCGGATATCAATAAGGCATGGGAACGACTGGAGAAAGCTGAACATGAGCGTGAGCTTGCTCTTAGAGAAGAATTGATACGCCAAGAAAAATTAGAACAACTTGCCGCGAGATTTAATAGAAAAGCAAGTATGAGAGAGACTTGGTTATCTGAGAATCAGAGACTAGTTTCTCAGGATAACTTTGGTTTTGATCTTGCTGCGGTCGAAGCTGCTGCTAAAAAACACGAAGCCATTGAGACTGATATCTTTGCTTATGAAGAACGTGTACAAGCTGTTATGGCGGTTTCGCAAGAGCTTGAAGCTGAAAATTACCACGATATTCTTAAGATAAATGAACGTAAAGTCAATGTTTTACGTTTGTGGAATTATCTTTTGGAGTTATTGCGTGCTAGGCGTATGAGACTTGAATTGTCTCTTCAGCTTCAACAAAACTTCCAGGAAATGCTCTATATTCTTGATAGTATGGAAGAACTTAAGCAGCGTCTTTTGACAGACGACTATGGAAAGCATTTGATGGGAGTGGAAGATCTCTTGCAGAAACACTCATTAGTTGAAGCGGACATTAACGTTCTCGGTGAACGAGTTAAAGCTGTCGTACAACAAAGTCAAAGATTCTTGGAGCAAGATGAAGGTTATCGTCCTTGCGACCCCGCTATTATTGTTGAACGTGTTCAACAGCTTGAAGATGCGTACTCAGAGCTGGTGCGTTTGGCAGTTGAACGTCGTGCTCGACTTGAAGAGTCTCGGAAACTTTGGCAGTTCTACTGGGACATGGCTGATGAAGAAAATTGGATCAAGGAGAAAGAACAAATTGTCTCTACTGGTGACATTGGACACGATCTTACGACTATCAACCTTCTTTTGTCCAAGCACAAGGCGTTGGAGAATGAAATTCAATCTCATGAGCCTCAGCTTATGTCTGTTGCCGCTGTAGGTGATGAATTGGTACGTCAACAACACTTTGGATCCGACAGGATTCAAGAAAGACTCCAAGAAATTTTGGCAATGTGGAATCATTTGTTAGACCTCTCAGCATTCAGGCGTAAACGTCTTGAAGAAGCTGTTGATTATCATCAATTGTTTGCCGATGCTGATGACATCGATATTTGGATGTTGGACACTCTTCGACTTGTATCCTCAGAAGATGTCGGTAGAGATGAAGCGAATGTGCAATCCCTGTTGAAGAAACACAAAGATGTTACTGATGAGTTGAAAAATTATGCTACAACTATTGAACAATTACACCAACAAGCTGGATTACTCGGGGAACAAGACGCTAAGTCACCGGAAGTACTTGAAAGACTTGCGTCGATTGACTCTCGCTACAAGGAGCTTTTGGAGCTTGCTAAATTGAGGAAACAGAGACTTCTTGATGCTTTGTCACTCTACAAACTCTTCAGTGAATCCGATGGTGTAGAACAATGGATTGGAGAAAAGAACCGTATGTTGGATACAATGGTACCAGCTAAAGACATTGAAGATGTAGAGATAATGAAACATCGTTATGATGGTTTTGAGAAAGAAATGAATTCAAACGCATCACGAGTAGCTGTTGTTAACCAATTGGCGCGCCAGCTTCTTCATGTTGAGCACCCCAACTCTGAGGAGATTGTTGTAAGACAGAATGAACTTAACCAGAAGTGGGCAGAACTTCGTGACAAAGCAGAAAACAAACGTGAAGCATTGAACTCTGCTCATGGTGTACAAACCTTCCATATTGAATGTCGTGAGACTGTATCTTGGATCGAAGATAAGAAGAGAATTCTCCAACAGACAGACAGCTTGGAAATGGATCTTACAGGTGTTATGACACTACAACGAAGACTCAGTGGTATGGAGCGTGATCTTGCTGCTATCCAGGCTAAATTAGACGCTCTTGAGAAAGAAGCGCAGTTGATTGAAAAAGATCATCCTGAAGAAGCAGAACTTATCCGTGAAAGAGTTTCTCAAATTCATATTATTTGGGAGCAATTGACGCATATGTTGAAGGAACGCGATGCTAAATTAGAGGAAGCCGGTGATCTTCACAGATTCTTACGTGACCTAGATCACTTCCAAACCTGGTTGACTAAGACACAGACCGATGTTGCTAGTGAGGATACTCCAACAAGTTTAACTGATGCAGAAAAATTACTTACTCAGCATCAAAACATCAAGGAAGAAATCGATAATTACATCGATGATTACACTAAGATGATGGAGTACGGTGAGCGATTAACCAGTGAGGCAGGAGATGGTGATACCCAATATATGTTCCTCCGAGAAAGATTGAATGCTCTGAAAATGGGATGGGAAGAGTTACATCAAATGTGGGCCAATCGCCAGAATTTACTATCAAATTCATTGAGTCTCCAGCTGTTCGATCAAAATGCCAGACAAGCCGAGGTATTATTATCTCAACAGGAGCACGTTTTAGCCAAAGACGAAACTCCTTCGAGTTTCGAGCAAGCGGAAAATATGATAAAACGACACGAAGCTTTTATGACTACTATGGATGCAAACGACGAGAAAATAAATTCAGTTGTTCAATTTGCCACTCGATTAGTTGACGAAGGGCACTTTGCTTCAGATAAAGTTAAAAAGAAGGCAGATAATATTAGCGAGCGTCGTAGTATTAACCGTGATAAGGCTAATCAACTGATGGAGAAATTGAAAGATCAATTGCAATTGCAAATGTTCTTACAGGATTGCGAAGAACTTGGTGAATGGGTACAAGAAAAACACATTACTGCCCAGGATGAAACTTACAGAAGCGCTAAAACCGTTCATAGTAAATGGATGCGTCATGAGGCATTTATGGCTGAGATAGCGAGTAATAAAGATCGTTTGGAACAACTCCAACGCGCAGCTAATGAACTTATTCAACAGAAACCTGAACTTGAAAATATTATTAATCCGAAAGTTAATGAACTGGCTGATCAATTTGAAGAACTTGAAACTACAACACAAGAAAAAGGTAAACGGTTATTTGACGCGAATCGTGAAGTACTTATTCATCAAACATGCGATGATATCGACTCGTGGATGAATGAATTGGAAAAACAAATCGAAAGTACAGATACTGGATCAGATCTTGCTTCTGTCAATATTCTTATGCAAAAACAACAGATGATTGAAACACAAATGGCAGTGAAAGCACGACAGGTTACTGAACTTGATAAACAGACAGAACATCTTCAGACTACAGTTCCTGATGAGACGATGGAAGAGATAAAATGTAAAAAAGAAAAAGTTGCTCAGCGATTCGAACAGCTTAAGGCACCGTTGATTGATCGTCAACGCCAGTTAGAGAAGAAAAAAGAAGCCTTCCAGTTCCGTCGTGATGTTGAGGATGAAAAACTTTGGATTGCTGAAAAAATGCCTCAGGCTACAAGTAACGAGTACGGTAATTCGCTGTTCAATGTTCATATGTTGAAGAAAAAGAATCAATCACTTCGCACGGAAATTGAGAACCACGAGCCGAGAATAAATGCTGTCTGTGGAAACGGACAGAAATTAATTGACGAAGGTCATGAAGCAACCTCTGAATTCCAGAGACTTATATCAGAGCTTCATGAAAAATGGCGTGAACTCAAGGAAGCTGTTAATGACAGAAACAATCATCTGCTTCAAAATGAAAAAGCCCAACAGTATTTCTTCGATTCAACCGAAGCGGAGTCATGGATGAGCGAGCAAGAGCTTTATATGATGGTCGAAGATCGTGGAAAGGACGAAATTTCAGCCCAAAATTTGATGAAGAAGCACGAATCATTGGAGCACGCTGTCGAAGATTACGCTGAGACAATTCGTCAGTTAGGAGAAACCTCCAGACAATTAATAAATGATCAACACCCTCTTGCAGATCAAATTGCTGTTAAACAATCTCAAGTTGACAAGCTTTACGCGGGTCTTAAAGATCTTGCTGGTGAAAGACGTGCCAAATTAGACGAAGCGCTTCAATTGTTTATGTTGAACCGTGAAGTTGATGATTTGGAACAATGGATCGCGGAGAGAGAATTAGTTGCCGGCAGTCAAGAACTTGGCCAGGATTACGATCATGTTACGCTACTGTGGGAGAGATTCAAGGAGTTTGCTCGTGACACTGAAGCGATCGGATCTGAACGTGTAGCAGCTGTTAATGAAATAGCAGATTCATTGATAGCAACTGGACACTCAGATGCCGCGACAATTGCTGAATGGAAAGACGGATTGAATGAAGTGTGGCAAGATCTTCTGGAGTTGATCGAAACGCGTACACAAATGTTGGCAGCGAGTCGTGAACTACACAAGTTCTTCCACGACTGCAAGGACGTTCTTGGAAGGATTCTTGAAAAACAGAATGCCATGTCGGATGAGCTTGGACGTGATGCTGGCTCTGTATCAGCACTTCAACGCAAGCACGGCAACTTTATTCAAGATTTATCGACACTTCAGAATCAAGTTACGCAGATACAAGAGGAGTCAGCGAAATTACAAGCCAGCTATGCTGGTGACAAAGCTAGCGAGATAACAAACCGCGAAGCTGAAGTTGTTGCAGCTTGGAATAATCTTCAATCTCTTTGTGAAGGCAGAAAGGCTAAACTGGAAGACACTGGTGATCTATTCAGATTCTTCAATATGGTCAGGACTCTAATGATTTGGATGGATGACGTTGTAAGGCAGATGAATACTTCAGAGAAACCGCGAGATGTATCAGGAGTTGAATTACTGATGAACAACCACCAGAGTTTGAAAGCTGAAATTGATACTAGAGAAGACAACTTGTTGGCTTGCATAAATCTTGGCAAAGATTTACTTGCCAGAAACCACTACGCCAGTGTACAAATAAAAGAAAAATTATCGGCATTAACAGCTCACAGAAATGCTTTATTACATCGGTGGGAAGAACGCTGGGAGAATTTGCAACTTATTTTAGAAGTTTATCAATTCGCGAGGGACGCGGCAGTTGCTGAAGCTTGGCTAATTGCCCAGGAACCTTACCTTATGAGTCAAGAGCTTGGAGTAAGTTGATTATTAATTCTAAACAAGTTAAGGGGTTACATGGGTTTCCTCCGGGAAAAAATGGCCTATTTTCAATAATTTTTTTTTAATAAAAAAAATGAAATATTCTATTCAAACTTTTTACTATCTTGAACATACATGTTAACTCCTAGCAGGATCATCTGAAGTGAAAAAAAAAATATGTACTTTAGTTAAGACTTTAAACTAGGTTTTGAAAGAAAGAAAAAAAAAAATTGGATTTTTGGCAGAGATTTTTACAAAAAAATTAAAAATTTGGCTAAAATTTCGCGGATTTTTTTTTTTTTTAAATAGTTGTGATTGAAAAAAAAAAAATCTTCTATTCAAGACCTTGTAAATTATATCTCAAAGACCTGTCTAAAATTTCATCAAGGTGGGTACCGTTTTTGAAAACGTAATTTTGAGAAAAACGCGTTTAAAGTTTTGAGTTAGAATACAACAGCGCCTTGAGCGCGCTACTTCTTAAAACTGTATTTCCGAAACTATTATCCGAATCGATTCGAAATTTTAGGACAATATTCTAGAGATGTTGTAGAATTTAATAAGACAAAAAAAATCGATTTTTTTGAAACCGTGAAACCCATATAACCCCTTAATGCAATTTAATTAATTATAACAACTTTAATTAATACTTAATAATTTTTTTTTTCTATACTATTACAGCACACGATTGACGAAGTTGAGAATTTAATAAAGAAACACGAAGCATTTGAAAAATCAGCAGCTGCACAGGAAGAAAGGTTTAGTGCCTTGGAACGTTTAACTACGGTAAGTTATTTAAATAAATTAGTGTATGCTGCATGACTCATTAACAATTAGTACTTCAGCACAAAGTAATTAGTATTCACAACATTTGATTAATTGACGTAAAAAATGAATAACATTAATTAATTTTTTTTGTGACAATGCATGATATTATGAAATATTATCTCAACTTTGAGATAAATATGCTTTTAACACTGACCATCACTATGTTAATCGTTGTATGTGTTTTGGAATCATGTTTAATGGGTTATTCTTAGCCTGAGATGGTGTACTATAGTGACTTCTTATTGGGCATGCCAATGGCGGAACTTGAACACAGGCTCACTTTTATTCCTCCTGATGAATATCCTATTATTTTAACTACTACTACATCCATACCCGTAAAACCTGCATTCACTATTACGAAGAAACGAAATCGTTCTATAACTAGTATTGTGCATGACATCATCTTTAATTCAGATCGTTTTTATTCACCAGTGAATAGATATAAACGTGAATACACGTCCACGGGGACTAAAATTATTTATCCTCAGTTATCTAAATCTAAAGAAGTTTTTAATAAAAATAATAAAAAATTCGTACGTCCTAAATCATTTTTATGGGATTCTAATTGGGTAAAAAGTAACAATAATTCTATTAGATCATACAGCGAAAGTTCTTCAAGTTCTATTAAAAATCTAGATAATTTAAGTAACGATTTTATTTTTAATGAAGTAGCAATTCATTCGCCGAATAAAATTTCTGAATATGGTAATCCGATGTTTAAGAAAATGGACGGATTCTAAAATTATGTTAAATCCTTGTTTATTTTAGATTTTTAAATAAATATGTTAATAATTTACAATAAGAATATATTTAGCCAAAATTATTCATTACAAAAAAAAAAAAGTAATTTTAATTTCTAATTTTTGTAATTTAAATCCCTTCTTCGTAATTTCCTTTTTTTTTCTAATCCTTAAAATGAAACTACAACATTAATTAGTTTAAGGTAAGCTGGCTATGCTTTTAAAAACCGCTTTTGTTTGTTTGCAAGGTGTATTAAATTAAAAAATAACTCCTGATGACCATAATTGATCAATTATGTCGTTTTATAGTTTGAGTTAAAAGAATTGAAGAGACGAGAACAAGAGCGAGAAGAGGAGGAGAGACGTAAAAAAGAAGAAGCTGCAGCAGCCGAGGCAGCGCGATTAGCTAAAACAACACCTGTTACTAGTCCTGATGAACCAACGAGTGAACGGTAATTTGAACTTTCTTATTAATTACTTTTACAGCGGTATTATATAAATATATCAAGATCAAGCTTATTAAATTTTAATTTTTTTCACAGGGTCGAAGCCGATGGTGTAACTAGCGGTGACCGTGGCGATGATGATGGTAAGAAATTTTTAAATAAAATTTTAATAATGAAAAAATTTTCCGTATTATTGATTCAAATGCACGTCTGGGTACTTCGCGAAAAAAGTTTTTATATAAAAAAAAAGATTATTTTAAATAATATTCAAATATTTAATCTGACTATCATAAGATGAAGGAATTAATTAATGGAATAACTTGATATAAATTGTAAAGTAGAAGTCAAACAGAATATCGATTAGTCGTCGTGTCTACAAAAGAATAATTCTGAAGTATAAATCATGAAATTCTATTTAAAAAAACGTAAAAAGAAAAAAAAAACCGCGTTGAAGCATGAATATTGCTAACAAGCACGTTTATTTTTGCCACTTACCTTCTCTTGATCCTCAAATTCTCAATAAAATTCTCCTATTCATAATCCTTTGTCCTTGAATTCCTCAAATAATACCTATTTTCCTATAAAATGCGGCACGGAATGCACAAACCGCAGTGGCACCGCGCAAGGCTTCTTCTACACGAACACCGCAATCCCAAGAAAAACCCAAGGAAGGTGAGTGTTCGGTAGAATACTTAATAAAAAAAATTCATATCCAGTTTTTTTTTTTTCATTATTATTTTTTATTCAACAATTTTACTATAAGTAGTCTAGAAATTTTTATTTTTTTTAAATCACTTTCGACACCTTATATCTTGAACCATTTACTGATAATCACCAATTTTTTTTTTTGTTTTAATTTAAGATATTTTTGGGTTATTTTTTTTTCAACAAATCATATCACATATCATATTAATTACTTATCACTTCAAACTACATTTATCAAGGTACATGTTCAATTAGTGATACTATTGTCGTAATTATTAACTTGATTGTTTTTTTATCGATAACTTATGAGGTAGAATTAAAAAATTCTAACAAAATTAAGTAATAGCTAATTCAGACATGTACTTTGGAAGATTCATTTTTTTTTTTAATAATTTAAAAAAATGTACATTTTTAAAATTATTGACTAGTAATTAATATACATGCTTTTTTGTGTGCCTTAACATTTTTATCCACAGGTGGCGGAATCAATATGTTCATATTTTAATGGCTAATTAATTTATAATTAATATAATTATTATTAACTTAGAATATTTAACTAATACTTAATTTAAGCACAATATCGTTTAGTAATTACTTTTCTGAAAATTGCACATCTGGCTTAAAAATATTTTTTTTTCTGCATTTATCAAACAGTATAAATATCGCTTATCTATTTATAATTTTTTTGCATGTTTCGCTCTTGAATAAAATGTAAGCTTGCATGTTTTTGTAGTTGCTTATTATTTTTCATTTTTTAATATTATTATATCAGTAACTCGCTCATACAAATTACAGTTTGAATTAATTATTTATGTAAAACACTGTATTTAGTATAATATTTGAAACAAAAATTGTAATGCATGATTTTGTGTATTGGTGTGGTATAGTGCATGTTCAAAGGCCCCAGCGATTCTCTTCTGGAGATGTGACACGATCTATTACTCCAACAACTTCCAAATCTCGTGCTTCTGTCCCATCAACACCAACAAGTAAGTGTCAATTTAATTAAGCCCGACATTCAACATACTAAAGAAAATTAATTATTACAAGTACAATTATTCAATCACTCACTTAACAATCACGTCAATACATATTCATTATACTTAAAATCATTTTACAATTTTTTTTTTAGTCCAAAATTTTCAAACTCAATATTTTTTTTTTTCTTTATCAGTAAAAAATTTTTTTTTATAAAATTAGAAAATATAAATTCAATTTTAAACTTGCTATAAGTATTTATTTGATGCATGTGCATGTTGCACGTAAAAAAATTGAAATTTTAAGCACGTTTAAGTAGATGACAAAAAATAATTGGAACGGTGGTGAAATTAAACAATAAACAATTACAAAATGAAGCATTTATATATTGAGTAAGTAGTTAATTGAATTGTAATCCGAATATAAGCTCCTAAAGGTGGAACTGGTTCAGAACCTGGTACATTGCGACGAAAGGAACGTAGTCGCAGCAAGTCACCATTCAGAAGCTTCCGTTGGAAAAAAACTCCCAAGTCACCGAGTTTAGATCGTAGCGGTGTGAGTGATGACGAGCACAGCTTCCACGGTAAGTTTGTCGTAATTGCCCATGAATAGATTATTATCAACGACTTAATAAGTATTTTAATTAATAAATTTTTTTAGTTATGATAAGCAAGCATCCTCTTAAGCTCGTTATTTTTTCTGTTTGCTTTTATAATATACGAATGAATGCTTACATTTTATTAAGCATGTCTTGAGCCAGATTTATTTTATTTTAACTTATAATTAAATTTTATAAATTAAAAACAGTTTCAGGTACTCCGTGATGCAGTCGACTGAAGTACTCAATATTAAATTAGTTTATCGTATCGATTAAATCAGTCATAATCATAATCATACTTTAATTTTAAGTTTTTATATTATGAGTAGCTTATTATAAAATTTAAAAATAAAAATTTATTAAATTTTAATTATTTATTTATTTATTTATTTGAACAGAGCAAAGAAGCCCAAGTGATGATGAATTCGAAGGCACACTTGTGCGTAAGCATGAGTGGGAAAGTACAACGAAAAAAGCAACCAACCGATCATGGGACAAGATTTATTTGGTTGTCCGTGGACAAAATCTTGTGGCGTACAAAGATCAAAAATCTTGCAAGGCAGCTCCAGATCAACTTTACAAAGGTGAAGCACCCTTCGATCTTCGTGGTGCTACGATCGCCGTCGCCAGTGATTATACCAAGAAAAAACACGTCTTCCGAGTCAAGTAAGTTATTTTTTTTATTTATTATGCTAAAAATAATTTATAATTAATAAATATTAATTTTATAAAAAATTAATTTTTAGGTCGCAAGGAGGTGCTGACTTTTTGTTCCAAGCTAAAGATGATAGTGAAATGAACGAATGGGTTACGGTATTAAATCAAGCTGCCCAGGGAACTGCAGGAGCGAGTACATCAAGAGCACATACTCTTCCAGCACCAACTCAAGCTGAAACAAAACGACGTAGCTTTTTCACTCTTAAAAAGAAGTAAGTTGGCTTTTAATTTATTAAATAATTTGTTTTTCTCTGGCTTATTTTTTTTTTGTCTTAATAATCTTATGTATATCATTTTATTATTTTTATAAATTAATGACTGTATTAAAAATTGTAAATAAGATGATAATGCACCTGCTATTGTAAGTTCCTTCATCACTGTGTCTTCATTTCATCGCTAGATTATAAATGCATAGTATTATTTTATTATTATTCTACTATCATTTTAAAATAATAAACATTTTTTTTATTCGCATCGACAATAAGAGTTGCAAAAAAAAAAATGTATTCATTACGACTATGAATAATGGATACATTATTGGTTATTTATTATTCATTGTTAACAAATGAGTAATGGTGTTATGATGAAAATTCCATCTTGATGAATTAAAAGAATAAAGTAAGCAATTGATGATATTTAAATTGTTAAATTTTGTAACACTTGTTGATTTGACAATAGGTCATCATTCAGCATCCCTTTTCGATCATATCGCATTTATCATATTTTTAGAAAAGCCAAAAAGTAGAAAGCGAATACCATGATCATAAGAAAAGTTCAGTACACAATTGGAACAACATTTTTATGCGGTGAGTCGCACACCATTATTCCTCATAAACGTCGTAAATATTTTTGCACGATACGTAAATCATCTCCCTATTTAAATTTATTGTTTTTTTTTTACTATTTTTTAAAATTATTTTTTTTTTAAACCTATTCGTTTTTAAAATTATTTTGTCCCTGTGATTTAGTTTACTGATGATGTCGAGAGGAATGTTCTTCCAATTGTGAATGCGGAATGACGTAAATTATTCATCGGATAACTTGAGAATCCAATCAGGAATTCACGTGTTTCATATGCCTCATTGAAATATTTACCAAGTTGATAATAATATTTATTTCTTTTTTTAGGATAGTTATTGGTATGTGAAGCATACTGATGCACTAAATAAGTAATCAGTTTGAGATTAGGCGCTTGTTGATTGAATATTTAAAAAAAAATGTTATGAGTCATTTATTATTTCAATTATTTATTTTTTAGAATTAATCATGCATTATTATTAGCTATGTGTCATCGTTATACTTATAATTTTTTTTTATCATTTATCATTGTTTCATATATTTATTTTGTATTAGCTTGTAGGCATTGATATCATTAATAATATAAGCAATGTTACATAGTTTATAATTATTTTTCAGATCAGAAGAATTTATGATAATAAATAACTCAATAATTATTTATTTATAGATATGTTAATATGTTTATATTTTTTTTTTTTTCAGCTAAACTGGAGCGGTAACATATTGACAGAAAAGAGTTTGGGCTATTATACAGAGAAAAAGTAATTAAGGAGAAAAGTTAATAATAGAATGATATTTAATGAAAATGATGCTGCTATTTCGTCGCTCTACTACGTTAAAGCAACGCTAATAACAAATTAGAAGATAAAAATCATTAGACTATGTAGATAGTCATAAGTGATTTAATTGTCAGATTTTAAATAAACAGAGACTTTTTTTTTTTTTAATTATATTGGCAAGCGGCAGATTTATATTTAATAATTTGTCGTGTTTGACGTTTTGAAATATAATATATTTTAAAACGGCTTGCTATTGCCATAATCAAGAGAGTAATCTAACATTAAACTTTCCCAGGTCAGCGTGCTTTCAATTAAAGTATTGTTTTTATTTATTTAATTTGTTTTTTATAAAAAAAAATTTTTTTCAATTCATTAAAAGATATTGATTTTTGAATGATATGTATTTTGCTCTATCGTGATTGATAAATTTTATTATTGACAATTTGTATTTATTATTAATTATTAACATCTAAAAATGTTTTGTAAATTTATTATCGATGTTGTTAATTTGAAATGTTTTCATAAAGATTTTATTTCGAAGAATGCTTTAAAAGTCTCATGTATTAGTAAAGCGCACAATTTTTCAATAAATTCCAAGCAAGCTATGAAAAATAGTGACGTAAGACTATAATAGTCGGTTTACTCGTTTATTTTTACAAACAGAAAAAAAAAAAAATAATATTTTTAAAAATTATATATGTACAATTGACGAGTGATATTTATGAAACTTTTAATAATTTTAATTGTATGTTTCTTTCTTTATCAATGTATAAACTACGAAATGACTGCCATTTATTTTTTAAGATCCGCGCTTTCCTGGGATTGTTTTATTATATTGATGAAATAAAAAATGATAATTAATAAATAATAATAATAATAATAATAATAAAACTTTTAAAGAATGTTATATTACGTGAAAAAATAAAATATTGAAAGAAAAAAAAGATTATTGTATTAACAAAGAAGAGTTTTTCCTCCTATACGAAATTACGAGGTATAAAATACAAATTATATAAAAATAAAATTCATAAACTCTAGATGATTCTCTCGAACTTTACGACTGTTTCGTATTATTCTCTTCGAACAAATCCGATTTTAAATATATAAATTAAATGATGAAAATTATTTGTAATAATGAGATAATAATATCAAGAAAAAAAAAACTTTAAATGACTCACGCGAGCTTTGATGAATGCGTATCGGACACTGCAATTTCTTACGTCAAATAGCTTGAGAATTATATTATACAGTTTTGAAAATTTTATTTTTCATTTTATAAAGTATTTATCGAATGATGGATAATGTTTTAATTTTTTGAAAATGTAAATCATACTATATATAAAAAACAATTATAAGATTTTTCAATACACTATATATTTTATTTCTGTTGCTTATTTTGTTATTTTTCACATATATTGCGTCTTGAAATCACATTTCATTGTGCGAATGAGACTTAATCATATATACCTATTGCTGTATAGAAACATAATGTCATTTTTTTCTTATTAATTTTTATTGAAAAAAAAAACATCACGACGTGTTTTAATTAAAAAACTAAATTCTAAATAAAATTTTCAAAAAATAATAAAAGAAAAAATTAATAATAACTCGTTAATGAGAGCAATACGTCCGTTTCTACATTGTAAGAAACAAAAAGCTTTTATTGCACGTAAAATATAAAAATATATATTAAAATATATGCACAAGATGTGTAAAGACAATTGGCTTTAATGTCGAAATTTTATTTTAATCTTTTTGCAATTAATGCGACATACTAATCGCTCTATGTTTTTTACATAAATATAAATAATAAAATTTTATTAAAGTAGGATAAATATTATTAATTGATAAATATAAATAATATATAATTGTAAAACAAATAAATAGTTTGCTCTTTTCGTTTTAGAATGGCCTTCCTTAAAAAAAAAAAAAAAAAAAAAATATAAAAAAAAATAGAAAAAGAAAAAAAAATATCTAAAAATAAAATGAATTTTTTATTATTAAGTGAGAATGATTGTGTGAATGATTAAAATAACTGAAATGATATTATATTATTTAAAATTAGTTTATCTTTATAAAATTTTATTTCTACAACTGTGCAAATATGTTATATCAAGCTTTTAATGTATTATCTTCATAGCCTTATGAAGTGGCAATTACCGATGTGCATAAAAGTTTCGCAAGTACGAAAGAGATAGTGGACAAGTTTAATTATAAATTAAAAATAAGAGAAACAAAAAAGGAAAACAAATGTTTACATCTCAAAGAAATTAAAAGAACAAAAAGGAGTTTAATCAAATTTCACAAAACAATAAACCATTGAATTCATTAATTAGTAAATAAAATCTATATAATTAGCAGTTTTTCATTCTTCTATACAATTGAAGTTTACCCAGTTTAATTTCTTAAATAAAATATACTGAAATAAGTAAGAAATGGAATGAGAGCAACCGTAGTATTCCCTAAACAACTAATGCTTAAAAACAAATTAATAAATGCATAAATAAATAAATCAATATAAATAAATAAACACTTGTAAGATTTTTCGGGTGCATCCCAAATGGCTATGTCAAAAACAATAATAAATTTACATATACATTTATGTGTATATAAATGATATATTAAAGTATAAATTTATTAATTTCTAGTTTTAATATCAAAGTTGAATGAAATATGATCTTGCTTTATTAGTAATGGATTTAATATTCCTTGCTTTGCAATTGTATTATTAATTAATATTATTATTATGTTTCTATTTATCTTTATGGTTATTTATTAAAAGAATATAACGGATCAATCGAAGAAAGATACATACGTATTAAATAAAAAAAAAAAAGAAATAGTATCTTAATAAAATACAATAATAAAAAAAAATACCATTCATTATTATAAGATCATTTTTCTTATTGTGCTTAGCACATTCGTATGACGTGATTATGCGTAAAAACTTTATTAACAATAAAGAAATTATAAATAAATATTATTAATGTAAGTTCTTGATAAATAATAATACATTTATGAGAAGATAATGTGAAGCTTATGTAATAAATGGTTGTTGAAAAAATTGTGAGTAAAATTAGTGTAGATTACAGGAGGATATGCAAAAAAAAATATCAAGATGTATATGGTGAGATTATTGCAGTAAAAATATATATCGTGACAGTTTTATATACGAGGGTCAGTGATCAACAGCCGTACTGGCTTTAAATGGACTGATGAGAGGGATCTGGGACCACTGGTGGTGCCATGAGGAAATGAAACCCATTATCTAATATACTTTTATTATATCGTCAGATCGTCATTTTAAAAATGGTTACTCATTCGCTCTTCATTGCCCGTAGCTCTTCTTCGCCCGTATCATCATCTTTGAAGAAAAAAATGATTAAATTGAATTAAATTAAAAAATACATTCAATCCAACCTTTGAGTTGCTAAGAAAGCCGGCATTCAATAAAACTTTAGCATGCTTTCATCATTTATCGTTTTATTTTTTCCTTATCTCATTTTTTAAATTATTCCCGCGTAAAGTTAACAAAGAACGGGTGGATATTAAAAGATATGATTGGTCAATAGTTCAATGCACTTTATTTATAATATATATTTATTTATAAAGTATTCTCAGGCGTTTGTCAGGGTATGTATATACATATATATCTGCTTATTTGTTTCATTACAAGGACATTTAATTTTCTTTGTTTTGTTATTGTATGACACAAATGTTTATAAATAATTTTCTAAACTTATTTTGTCATAAAGTGCTGCTGTTAATTAATTTACTTGAACTGAATCGAAATGTAGGTCGTTAAATATTTTACTTAGAATTGAAGATCAATAAAAGGAAATTAAATTAATCCATCAGTTCTGAATAATTGAGGTAATTATTATCGTTTTTAAAATAAAATTGCATAAAATGACATTGTTTTAAATATAACTTTTAAATATGTTATTTTTTTTTTAGAACTTTTTCATGTGAAATTAAAATTTTTTATACTACCTATTTCTTTTCATAAATGACACTGATGATTTCTAAGATTTTTTTCAACAAATAAATAATTATAAAAAAATTATAAAAATTAAGTTAGCCGACATCTAAAAATTTTTATAATTTTTTTTTAATTCAAAAAATTATTACTAAAAAATGAAAAAAAATTTTCATTTGCAAAAAACTTTAAAATCTATAAGTAAAATTTTTCAAAAATATTTTTTAGTTCTAATCTAATGAGATTAAAGTTAGCAGTTGCTTGATCATTTTTTAAAAAACAAATTTGCTCCGAAAAATTATTTCTAAAAAATTGTATTTTTTATTTATTCAATTTTCTAAATTTTAATTTTTTTCTCTGACATAATTTGTTTGTTAAAAAAATTTTTAAAACGATGAAATATCTGCTAAATTAATTTTCATTCTGATCTAATAAATAAAAAAAAATCAAAAATGTCGGCTAAAGTGTTATAAAAAATTCTACTCCGATCGTAGATTTGTTAAAAAATGATTGCTATTTTTTTAAAAATATTTTCTTAGTAGAAATTAATTTGTTGTAAAAATTAAAAAAATGACATGACATTTAATTTAGCTGTCACTTGACAATTTTTTATTTTTTTTTAACAAAAAAATTTGTTCCAAAAAATTATTTTTAAAAAATTGCATTTTTAATTTTATTAAATTTCTACAAGTCCATTTTTTCAATAATTTTTTTATTAAAGAAAATTTTTAAAAATTGTAAAATGACAGCTAAATTTAACATCATAAAAATGACAAATTGCTAATTTAAATTTCATTTTTTTTACTAGTTACATTGTTCTGTAACAATAATTAAAAATTATCGGATGTCTGCTATTTTAAGTTTCGTATAATAATATATAGCATACGAATCCAACGTAGAACTTATCAACGTCCTTCTGAAAGTTTAATAACTGTCTAAAAATTTATAAAATTACATTAGTAAACAAGTTTCAATTCCACTTTAGATACGTACCAGTTATTTCGAGGCAGACGACAATTTTAATGAGTTTTTAAAAAAATGAATACAGGTAAGAATTATTTTAGTAAAATTTCGCTTCAGTAAATATAAAATAAGGTATAATTATGATTGCAAGTAACATGAATAATAATAATTAATAAATAATGGATGAGTATCATATCTTTAAATTGTTAACTCATGCATGGTAATATATTTCCAAGCGTAAAAGTATATAATGGTTGCATTTAGGTCCAGAACGGAGGAATAGGAAGAGAATCTATGATGACGTTGATGTAGCTTGCCAAGAAATTTTGGGGGTGGTGAAACGAAAACAAAATTATTGTAAAAAAAAAAAAAAAGAAAGGAAGGACGAAGATAACACTTTTAGTAGTGTAGTGGAGAGAAGCTTCGAGTGTGTTTAAAACGACAGCGCCACCGATGTGTTTATATATCTCTATACAATGCATCTATATTCAACATGCTAACTCGAGTTTTTAGTTGAGAAAGTCAGTTCATACAAGATGGCCGCCCGGGTCATATCGGGGTTCTATCAGCTAACGCTTATATTACATTTATTCTTATTTATTAATTTTAATAATGGTGAAAATAGTTATGAAAATTCAAGAACACTATATGTCACCGATAATGACCAATCATTACGCCAAAAAAGGTCTTTTATTATCGACAAAAATGATTATTTTGGTGATGATAATGATGATGAGACTTTGGGACGATTTCGCCGAGATGTACCGCAAACTCCAACACCATCAGGATTTTCCAATTCGTCATCTAATATTACAGTCAAGGTAGTTATTTTAATATTTATTTATCAATAAGTTACAGTGTTGATATTTTTATTTTTAAAAGCTTTTATTAATTTAAATAATAAAAAACAAACGTTTTTGCGACGTATTTTTTAAAGACATGACGACATAAAAATTTTATTTTAAAATTACTATTTTTATGTGCACTTGTTAAACCTGATACATATTCATTGTTTTTATTCAATTTATTATTTTTTTTTTTAGGTATTTATTTGTTCAAAAGTGATTTATTCTCAAGAAAATAATTGGTGTTTATTGTTCATACAATTCAATTTAAAATAGAAGCGTCATCAGATAACATACAATTAAAAATAATGTTTTTTTATTATCTGCATTTCAATATTACTTACTAACAACGCATTCAAATTACGTTTTTAAATATTCAATTCAATTCTATAATTATATCAAAAATAGTTGAACTAAATAATTAACATTATTGACAAACGTCAATGATTAATCAATTACACTCCAATTTCGTTATCTTGACAACAATCTAGGTGATTCTAATAAACTGTGTACTGGTAATTGGAGTAATAAATAGACTAATTATTGATAATTCTATAAGATTGGTTTGATAATTATATCAGATATCAAATAATAATCTTAATTAAAAAATTCCTAACAAATAAATTTTTTATGTTTTAAAGATTTATTGAAGAAACATTTTTATATTTAAATTATTGAGTGTCAGACTTTAAAACTGTTGTTTTTATTTTAACAATATTATCAGCAAGATCTTTGAGATAAGGTAATCTGTATACTTGATATTAAATCAGCTGTTGAGAATAAACACTCTATAATAAGGAAAAAATAAAAGTTAGGTATATCTCAAATAAATAAACGTATTTATTTCGTTTATTTCCCGGGAGATTTTTTTAAAATAAATAAACAGCAATAAAATTTTTTAATTTAAATGCTGTTTTTTAAAATATAATAATAATAATAATAATAATAATAATATTAATAATATTGTTAGTCAGAGAGGAAAATAACTTCATGATGCTCTTTGTACAGTACACTCACATACAATCGCTAATCTTTTTAGTATTGAAGCGGACAAAAGAATCATGATACATATACAATAAAGTATGCAGATCGTATATTATTACTCGTGATATCTTTTGTAATTTGATTCAAAGTGTAGTATAAATAAACGGTTTGATAGTTATTATAAAACTCTAAAGTTATCCTAAAGAAAATAATTTATTTAAATAAAATTAAATTTATTTACATATTTTTGTTAATCTCAACATTTTTTAATCACGGCAATCAATATGATATGACTATATGAATTTACTTTCGCCTATCAAATCACTTAAGACGGTTTCACTTTTCAACTAGATGAGAGTTAACTGACTTATTGGTTTATACTGCTAATAATTATTATTATATATTTCATTTTATTTATTATATATTGCTAGAGCCTAGTGCTGATGTAATATTGTGCGTATGAAACTTAATGTAGTCTGATACTGGATGTAATTGTGTGGTGGAGTTATAAATATTATCGTTTTAATACTTTTCTTCATACTTCCGTATGATTTTATTATTTTTTTTTTAATATTCATAGAATTGAAATCACCAGTTATCACTCATCGTTACACAGAGCTGATAGCAATTCTTAAAAAAAAAAAAAAAAAAAAAAAAAAAAAAAAAAAAACAGAACATAATTTCCAAAGCAATATTTTTTTTTCTATTTTCTAATTTATATTTACAAATATTTATAATTTTTTTTTTTTGCAGTTAAACTTCTTAGATGACCCACACCAGCAGTTGATGGTCCATTGGGTTGGAGAAAAATCAAATGTAATAATTTGCTTGGCGAGAGATAACACAAACCCACGTGATAAACCAACGCAAAAATTAAATCCTAGCTCTGTTTACATCAGCTACGACTACGGTGATACCTTTGAAAATAAATCAGAATTATTTAAAATAAATTCAATTCCTGTTGAATATGCTACGCTTGATAAATTTTACAATCATCCAAAATTTAATACCTATTGTGTATTTGCGGATAGCGCGAATAGCGTTATATTTACAACAAACAACAATGGTAAAACAATTAATAAATCCAGTGTACCATTCCATCCAAGCGAAATTCTATTTTACGAAGATAATCCGCTGTATTTTTTGGCCCTGGATAAAATTGATCCGAGACGGACATTGTGGATGACAAGTGACTTGGGTAAAACATGGTTACGTATTCACGAGTCAGTAAAAGCATTTTACTGGTCTAATTCCAGTCCTAAAACAATTATAATCGTACGCGATGAATTTAAAGGCAGCACGGTAGTAGAATTAGATCTTACATTCGATCAAAACCAGAGGCGAGATTTAAGATCAGTACTTATAAAGAATGTCGAAGACTTCCAGATAAGAGGCGATTATATGTTCGCTACTAAGAAATCTGTTGTAGATCCGTCAGCTAATGAAACAGCTCAGTCACTGGACTTGTATGTTTCTTTTAAAAATCAAACATTCGTCATGGCGCATTTTGACACAGAACTGGAAAGAAAACAATATCATATCGCAGATGTTTCCAATAATAGAATATTTGTTGCAGTTGCTCATACCGATACACTTATAAATCTTTATATTTCAGAGGTTGTTGACCACACAATGGCCAGATTTATATTATCGCTAAAAGGAATTTTCACACATTTCCCAAATAGTACATGGAAAGGCAGCTGGGTGAATGAACTTGCCGAGGAAGCTTTCACTGATCTATATAAAGTTGAGGGCTTACGAGGTATTTATATCGTGTCACACATCAAAGAAAACTTTAAAGGTAACTCTGTTGGACCGGAATATCTGGAATCTTTGATAACTTTTGATCACGGTGTTACCTGGAATAAAATAAAACCACCAGAGAATGTTAAACATGAGAACGTACCGGATTCAACTTGGTCATTGCATTTGAGTCAGCGCTTCAGTCAATTGTATCCTGTAACTCGGTCAGTGACCATCATGAGTTCAAAGTCTGCTCCTGGGATAATAATGGCGACAGGTGTACTAGGATCGAGTTTGAAAGGTCATCCAGCTCTGTATGTGTCACGTGATGCCGGTCTTACATGGAAACAAGTACTCAAGGACTTCTACTTTTTCAATATGGGTGATCACGGTGGAGTTCTTGTTGCCGTTAAATACTTCAAAACACGTGGAGAAACCCGAGACATTTCGTACTCGATTGATGAAGGAGCAACATGGCAAACTTATCAATTTAACCAAGAAATGCTTCGGGTTTATGGTTTGATGACTGAGCCTGGTGAGAATACAACTGTTTTCACGATGTTTGGATCTACTTCAGGGTTGCATAAATGGCTTATCATTAAAGTCGATCTACGCAATGCATTCGAAAAAGAGTGTAAGGATGACGATTTTAAATTTTGGTCACCAGCTAGTTCTAATCAACCTGGAATGTCTTGTATATTGGGACGTCGAGAAGTTTACAAACGACGTGCTGCATCTGTTAAATGTTATACAGGTGTCGACTATGACAGGCCAATAAGCTTTGAAATTTGTCCATGTGATTTTCAAGATTATCAGTGTGATTACGGATTTATCAAAAGCGGAAGTCCTGCTCACTGTATTAAAAATAATGCTTTGGTACATTACGATCCATACAAAGTTCCATCTTTATGTTTCCCTGGTAAATTTTACAACAGGACTAAAGGATACCGTAAAATTCCGGATGATGATTGTTCCGGAGGTTACGCTAAAAAATTTGAGCCTGATGAAATACCATGCCCGATTGTTGAACCACAAGAATTTCTTCTGGTTGCTCAGCGAGAACACATCTCTCGTATTGACATCAGATCTCACAGTTTGGAAGTTTTACCGGTTCATGATTTGAAAAATGTCATTGCTATTGAATATGACGTTAAAAATAATTGTTTATACTGGGCTGATATAGTAAATGATACTATTGGAAGACAATGCTTCAAAGATGGTACGAGTTATCCTGAAATACTTGTTGAGACTGATTTAAGTTCAGTAGAAGGTATGGCTTATGACTGGGTCTCAAAAGTACTTTACTTTGTTGATGGTGTTAAAATGCGAATACAAATAATCCGTACGGATTTGACAATGGCTGGCAGAATGCGACGTACTATTTTGGGATCTAACAATTTACAAAAACCACGTGGAATTGCAGTACATCCCATGATGGGTTACATGTTTTGGACAGATTGGGCTCCTGGTAATGCATCAGTATCTCGTGCTAACTTGGATGGTACTGATATTAAACGGCTGTTTACAAAAGGCACTGTAGAATGGCCAAACGGTATTTGTATTGATTTTATCGCTGAAAGAATTTACTGGGTAGACGCACGAGAAGATTATATAGGATCATCAGATTACGATGGTAAAAGATTTAAAAAAGTAATCACCACCGATGACAGAGTTTCGCATCCATTCGCTGTTGCTGTATTTAAAGAAAATATGTATTGGGATGACTGGAAACAATCGATGATTTTTGTTGCGGATAAAGACCACGGTGCTGGTATAACAACTCCTTTAGGTACACTATCTGGATTGATGGATTTAAAAATATTTGCCCACAGTGTCCAAACTGGAACAAATAAATGTGAAAATAGCACATGCTCGCATCTGTGTCTCGGTGCTCCGAATGATGGATTTGTTTGTCTTTGTCCCGACGGTATGGTAATGACTGACGGTAAATGCATGTGTCCCGGTGGTATTAAACCATTTGCTAACTCAACATGTCCACGTGTTGCTAGCACATGTGCATCAAATCAATTTGCATGTGGCAATGGCGTTTGTATTTCTGGATTCTGGAAATGCGATGGTGACAACGATTGCGGTGATAATTCTGATGAAGTTAATTGTAAAAAAGCAACTTGCAGTCCAAATAACTTTGAATGTGATGACGACAAATGCATACCACGATTCTGGATGTGTGATCTCGATAAAGATTGCAATGACGGCAGAGATGAACTCAATTGTACTTATTTGAATTGCACTGACACGCAATTTAAATGTGATAATGGTCGTTGTATTTCTCACAGGTGGCAATGCGATGGTGAGGATGATTGTCGTGACGGATCGGACGAGCGACACTGTAACAAGAGTGCCGTACCAAACACATGCAAAACCGACGAAATTGCTTGCTCGGATAACACTTGCGTACCAAAGTCTTGGGAATGCGACGATGAAAATGATTGTGACGACGGTGCTGATGAAAAAGAATGTGTAAGTCGAGGTTGTCATGATTGGCAGTTTGCTTGCAATACAATAGAAGACGGGCACACAGCTCACAAGTGCATTTACAAAGCATGGCTTTGCGATGGTGATAGAGATTGTCACGATGGATCTGATGAAGATCATTGCCCATCACCGCCACCTGAGCCACCTACACCCTCAGCCCTTCCGACAAATACCTGCAACGATTGGATGTTTAAGTGCAATAACACCAAATGTGTACCGTATTGGTGGAAATGCGACAGCGTTGACGACTGCGGTGACGCATCTGACGAACTTGGTTGTGGAGTACCACCCGATGAACCAGAGACACCTTATATCACCGAGTCACCAAAACTTCCTCGTATTTGCAGAGACAATCAGTTCCAGTGTTACGATGGCCAGTGTATTGACGACTCTTGGATTTGTGATGGCACTCCAGATTGTAAATTGGGCGAAGATGAGTTGCGTTGTGATCATACACGCACAGGTTGCCGTCCTGATCAGTTTATGTGTCGAACAGATGGCAGCTGTATACCACTGACAAATATTTGTAATGGAGTTCTAGATTGTCCTGACCGCAGTGATGAGGCTAGCTGCGATATTCATCAGACAGAGCCACCGACAACTTTCTGCCAAACCGGTTCTTTCCTTTGCGATGAAAATAAATGTATTCCATTGGCTTTCTATTGTGACGGTAAACATGACTGTGTTGATGGATTTGATGAATTACACTGTGACAAAAATAATTCTCGAGTGTACCAAGTTATGGTACTTGAATTCGATGAGAGATTGACAAATGCTACCAGTTTGTATCTTAACTGGCACAAACCAATTCCATCAAACACAACACTTGAATTTTTACCCTCGTTAGCTAAAGTCGAACCTAACGCCAAGTGGATAAATGCTACTGGTTGGATAAAAGATAATAGGTATCAATTTAATAATCTTGAGCCTTACACACCTTACAATTTGACTGTTTACGTCAGACAAGAGGGTCAGACTACTGTTTATCCTCCATTTAAATATTGGATCATAAAAACCGATCAAGGAATACCATCAGAGCCTTGGAATGTCACAGTTGTTCAGAAGAATGGTACTCGTGTCGAGCTTTCATGGCGACCACCTCAACATCCAAATGGTATAATCACTGGGTACGAAGCTTATGTAACACCACCAATTCCACCAGCACCGTTCCCTCTACAAAAAACTTCTTACACTTTTGATCTACCATTCGAGCCTAACAAGACCTATTCATTCTGGGTAATTGCTAAAAATCGTAAGTACGATTCTAAACCTTCAGCAGTTGCAGAATTGGTGTTTGATGGCGCTGCTAATATCGACGATATTCAATATCTTAAAGTCATAGAAACAACAAATAATTCTGTTCATCTGACATGGGCGGCGTTGAAAGGCGTTGATGGTTATCACATTACACCACGTGCACCTCCACCTTATCCATCTTATCATACATTGAATACAACACAAAATGACTTTGTTGTTACCAATTTATCCCCGGGTACGCCCTATACTTTTGAAGTAAATGCGATGAAAAAATCTTATATTGGTAAAGTTGTTATGATAGCGGCTACAACAAAAGACACACCATTGCCGTCAGTACCCAATCTTAATGCAGAATCGAAAAAACTCGATGGAACAACTGTTAAACTCAGCTGGGATCAACCAAAGAGTACAAGAAAAATAAGATGGCAGTACGCTATTCACTATGCATTAAATATGCAAGATCTATTTAAGGACTACAAAATTTTGACTCCTAATAAATCCGCTTCGATAAAAAATCTTGAGGCTTGTGAAACATACATGTTTGCTGTAGGTGTTCGAGGTAATGGGTATGGAGCTGGACCTCTCAGCCAACCTGTACAAGTAGATACGTATTATAATGTAAAAGCACCACCAAAACAATTACGCGTTACTCCGGCACCTAAAACAACTGATTCAATAATTGTATCGTGGAGTGCTAGTTGTATGAAGATTGACGATCCTATTATTTACAGGCTTACTGTTACTGAAATGACACTTAATGAAAAATCAACAGTTATTCTACCACCGACAAATGAAACTGTGATAAAACATACATTTACAGGTATCAAGTATGGTGGTAAATATAAAATAACAGTTGCTTCAAATGTTACTGATGCTATTGAGAGCCAGCCAGTTGTTTATCAAGCAGCACCACTCACTCCACCTCATCAAATTCGTGTAGAGGCTAAAGATGGGAAATTTACAGTCAATTGGGAAGAGCCAATGAATTCTGATAATATGAAAAATGACACAAAGCGTCATTATCAAGTACTGGTTAATGAAAATACCAGAGCATTTAATGAATCAACAGCCAAAGTATATAATGTCGATCGACCGCCCTTTATTTTCACCGAAGCTAAAGTTAATTCAATGTATCTATTTACTGTCAAATTGATTACTGATAAAGGATACCAGAGTGGAATCAGTGAAATTGTTGGAGTTCAAATTCCATTGAGTATGTCAATTAAATTTATTTCATCTCTTTAATCTATTGAAAATAATAATTATTTTTTGTTTTTATTATTACAGCTGCAGATTGGCCTGGAACAATTAATACATCCAGTATACTTTCATTTGCTATACCAATTTGTTTATTGGTAATCGCATTAGGAGTTGGATTCGCGTATTTCTTCGTGAGACACAGGCGGCTGTCTAATAACTTTACGCTATTTGCTAACAGTCATTATGACACGAGACGAGGTCAAGCTACTTTCCCGGGTACCACAGATGCTCTAGGTGATTAATAATATTTTTCTTTTTTTTTTTTTTTTTTCCATAATTAAATTAGATATTTGTTTTTCGTTATTAATGCACAGCTGGCTTAAAAATATACTAATGATGATGAACAGAAATTGTTGTTATAATTTATAATTGCTGTTTAATTAATTTTTACTTTTATTTTATATTCTACTTTTTCTTTTTGTTTTAATTTATTTTTATTACTATTACTTCGCTACATGAGACCAATTTTAATTAAATGCAACAGCTAATAAAAGTTACTTGATCTTTAATTAACAGTTTAATTTATTTTCTTTTTTATTTTTTCTTTTAAATGTCGTACACTCGTTATTTTTATCATTTTAATTAATTATATGTTTATTTTTGTTTAAGATGAAGAAGACAGTCCTGTGATTCGCGGCTTTTCGGACGACGAGCCTCTGGTAATAGCATAAGTAATTATTATAATAAATTTAAAAGTATATATATATATATAAATTTACATTAATTGTAAGAAAGACACTATGATTATTATTGACTACTGTAAGTTTAGGTAAATGAGAAAAATGAATAATAATACTGCTGATCAGGTACGCATGATTATATAACAATATTGAAATCAATTTAAAATATCCTTTGCGCGATGTTTTGTCGCCTTTTATACGCTATCTCAATAAAAATAATAGACTATTTCATTTTTCAATTACAGTTGTTTAAGTATATAATTATAAATTATCGGTGACAGAGCGTCGCGCGACGGTAGCTCTGTATATATTTTAATTTTTTCGTGATAAATATTTTTTTCTTTATCATTTATTATTATTTTTAATATTATTGTTATAATTATTATAACTATTTAAAATAGTTTTTGATTTTTGATTGCCATAATTATCATTAAAAGTACTAACGGTTAATGAATTGGTATTAAAATTGAGTATTTAAAATTACATAAGGTATTAGATATTTTTTTTTTTATTTTCATTAAAACTCACATTTGTACTTCGTAAAATCAATTTTGGAGTCGAAAAAAAAAATTTACCGTCCGTATTTACTTTGGGTTGATCTATTTATTATTATATCGATTTTTTGAATTATAAATATGTAAAATTAATTACAGACTTCAATATATTTCAAATATATATTGTTTTTCAATGTAATCGATAATTATGGAAAAGTTAAAGATGTTTGTTTTGTAAAAAGTTAATTAAGAAAATACCACAATAAAAAAATCAAAGGTGACAAAGAAATTATCTTGATGTCAATTTTTATACTGAAATAAAAATAACTTAAGAAAATTCATTTGTAAAATTAATTGGGACTTGTTTTAAAAAATTTTTCATACAATTTATTAATAGACTCATTTTTTTTATGTTTCTATGACTGTAGAATTTGTATAAAGAATATACAATAATAATGTCAAATAATATTGTTATGTTTAACAAACGTGATTTTTTATTGAATATATTATGGATAAATTTTTTATGTGAGAATGTGAAAGAAAGTAAGCGTAATAATTATAAAGGTATTGTAGAGAGTATGTGAAATAAAGAGAACCAGTCAGTCGGATTAAAAAATTATAACAATTACAGCTTGTCTTTTATCTAAGCATTATTGTTTATGAAATTAAACAAAAAAAAAAAAAAAAAAACCGGACGATAAGTATTAACGTTTAATTATTAATTTACTTTTGCACGCCAGAAAATCTTGCCATTTCAATAGTTATGAGCAATATGACGTTTTATTTTTCTTCAATGATATTAATTAAGGGGGTAAGTGGGTTTCAGAGGTTCAAAAAAAGGGTATTTTTACTATTTTTTTTTTTTTAATATATACAATCATATATTTTATTTAAACAATTCAACATATCAAAGATACATATTTAAACAGTATTGTGTGAAATTTTTATTTTAAAATTCCGAAAACTCAGCCGTTGGTACTTCATCTTCCTTGACGTCTCCAAAAAAAAAATGCTCTTGCCGTGGACAGCTCAACTCATTATTGGTTCATCTAAAATCAAAGATCCAAACATATTTCGTTAGTACATGGATAAATCTCATTATTGGACAAAGGAGAATAAAAAAAATAAAAATTTGAATTTTTGACAGACTTTGAACAGAAAAACACATTTTTTGGTCAAATTTTCGCCATGTATTTGCTCGAAAAAATTATTCAAAGGCTGAGTTTTTGGAATTTTTGTATAAAAATTTCACAAAATATTGTTCAAATATGTATCTTTGATATGGTGAATTGTTTAACTAAAATATATGATTTTACACAGAAAAAAAAAATTAATTTGATTCAAGAGAAAAATTATTGAACCAAGAATAAAATTTTGAAGAGGGTAATTGTTTTGAATCAAGACGAAAAATTCTTGAATGAAGTAAAATTTCCTTATTAAGTTCTTCAAAATTATATACTTGATTCAAGAACATTTATTTTCTGTGTATATACTTAAAAAAAAAAAAAAATAGTAAAAATACCCTTTTTTTGAGCCTCTGAAACCCACCTATCCCCTTAATATTTTATTTATTATAATTAAGATGTAATGTCACCTATTTCCGCTCATTCTAATTTAAAACTATCTCTGACTCCGAAAGTATTTCCAATATGGTCTGAGAATTTTTAATTCACCCAGTTAATTTAATAATTGTAATTTTTTTTAGTGTGATATTACTTCTTAATTATCGTAAAGCTAAGATTTTTCATATATTTCTATACAAATCCGACTGCTTCGTATAAATATTTAAAAGTCTGAAGAGCTTGCAGCAGTAACGATTATAAATGTGAGGGTTAAATCGAGAAGAATTTTAAAGTAGATAATGAGCTGACGCTATTCCAATAAGTGAATAAAATGATTATGATTGTAGCCTGTAAATCTTGCAAAGTTATGATAACAGTGATTTAATATATATATGCGTGTAAATAAATAAAGTTAAATAAAAGCAACTAAAATAACTATTATCATTATCATCATTATTATTACACATTTTAGAATTGAAATTCAATAATATTTTTAATTTTATATTTTTTTTAATAATTTTAAATAATTAATAATAATAATTTTAAGTAATGATTAAAAATATTTATATTTATAGTGATTTTCATTTAGCTCATCATTTGTTTCTTATTTCTTCACTATTAATTTTCTTTTCAGTAATTCTATTCAGCGGACTGCAAAATTACTGAGCTGTATGTAGTAAAATGACAGCAAAATAAAAGTTAATGTTTTAGACAATGTTTTTTAAGTAACTTTATTGTTATGCAAAAAAAAAAAAAAATACAAGCATTATAAAATATTTTAGCATAGCAACTAAACGAAAAGTTAGTATTCCAAGTATTTTCCGTTAGATCATTTGCTGTTTGGATTTGCTGGTGACATTTGAATATTCATGAGTCAAGAGGACGTTTTGCATTTTTATGAGTCAGGGCATACGACATTTAAAACAAAAAGACACGGTTGAGCTTAAGTAATTAACGCTGTTGTTGCTGCTGCTGTTGTTCGTTTTTTACTCTGTCATTTTTTTCAGATAAAGTGCGGAAAGTAGAACGCGAATAATAATCACAGGGCTTTTAGACGAAATTGTTGAGGAATGTGAGCTGGTCCAAAGGAAGTAGGTATAAAGTTTGTAACAATGAATTTCCGTTCAAATGTGTATACCCGTTACACTTGTGTCAGTGATCATGCGTCTCATTAACATCCGTCTTTTTTACTTAACTTTTTTGTATCGTCATTATTTCTCGTAGTTCATACCTCACATCTCATACCTAGATATTACATAGATATATTATTCAGATGTTCTTTCTATCCGTTATGATTAATATAATATCACCACGGGAGAATATTTAGCTGCAGATGTTTCAACAGATGGAAATTTCCGGTTATTTTCTTTTTACTTGTCTTTGCTACTTAGTATTTTATATTTTATTTTCCATAACAAATTGGTTTCTTTCATTACATAAACTTGAAAAAATATTGTTGACCGTTAAAGGATTTTAAATCTTAGATTTTTTCACGTCAAATAAATTGAGAAGTGAATTCTCTCAAGCATGAAGTTTAATGTTTTGACACTTTTTCAATAATTTTTTTATAGTCACTGTCACGAACGATGATAGTTCAGTGACATGTAAACATCTATAAAAAACATTGTTAGTAATAATTTAAAATTTTATTAAATACGCTTTAGAGATTTTTAAAACAGCAAGTGATAAATCTTTAAGTTATATTAATAACTTTTCGCTAGTAATCATCAATATTAGTTTTTAAATATAATCACTTTTAATATATTATAATTAATTCGAGTTTTTTAAGAAATCCTGATTAAATTAATACTAGCAACCTTGCAGTTACTATGTGACTGCCGTGACTTGTGAACTATAAATAAATGAAATTTGGCTTTATTAAATAATTTTTGTTAAATTTCACTGGTACTTTCTTAACTATTGACGCTTTTAAAGATATAAGCTCATCCCGGTGTTATACTCATCAAGAGCTTTCATTTGAGTACCCACATGCATTTTAATATATTTTTCATACATACATATATATATAATATATATAAATAGATGAAAAATTGATGTGGGTACTCAAATGAAAGGTCTCGATGAGTGTAATGTCAGAATGAGCTTATATCTTTAAAAATGTCAATCGTTCACAAGATATTTATTATTATTAAATTGTACTGTACTTTCTTAACTATTGACGTTTTCAAAGATATAAGCTCATCTCGACGTTACACTCGTCAAGAGCTTTCATTTGAGTACCCACATGCATTTTGATATATTTTTCATATATACATATATATAATATATATATAAATATATGAAAAATTGATGTGGGTACTTAAATGAAAGGTCTTGATAAGTGTAACATCGGGATGAGCTTATATTTTTAAAAATGTCAACAACTCACAAGATACAAGGTCATTTCTTAATTATGTATCTAGAGAGCATTTTTGAGTGCAGCTTAAATACTTATCATTAAAATTGACTATCTGTGAGAATGATATGAAACCTTGAAAAGGCATAAATTCAAGTCAAGACCTTTTCAATGACACTAAATTTCACTAAAACAAAAAACAATTTTATCCTTATTCTCTTAATAATATAGATAATTAAAAATAAGAACTATCTCTAATTTTTTAAGTAAAAAGTATGCAATTGTAAAAAAATTAATTAACAATAGTGGTAAAAATTTTTTTTCTTTCTTCTCTTGAGAACCAGTTGGTGAAAAGTGGAAAGCTGAAAACTAAATATATTAATTAAAATTTTAATTAAATTGTTATTTTTATAAAACTTAATAGTGAATTTGCTTACCGAATATAAATATAAATATAAATTATTTTAATATGATAATTTAAATAGAAAAGTACAATAAAAAAGGACGTTTAATCCGAGCTTATACACGTACTCGGTACCGTACAACTAATTGTTGCGTCTAATTATTGCGCCGGAGGCA